ACCTCTGCAGAAGAACAGGCTGCCCAGAGGGGCTGTCACTGCCCTGGCACCTCTGCACTCCCATCCCAACATCCCACAGAGATCCCACAAAGCCACATCCAAGCCCACTTCCACTGCCTCTGTCCCAGAAACCAGGTGTGCCTTTCAAAACTAAAAGCAAGTTTGAGCTGCCCTGTCCCAGCCCCGGCAGAGCCTCTCCCCAGCCCTGCCCATGAGCCCTGCAGGCTGTGCTCCATCAGCAGGATGAATTCAGCACTCCAGGAGCTGGCAGAGCAGTGGCTGTGCTCTGCTGAGGGGCTGCATGGCCTGCAGGGTCAGGAGCAGGGCTCACACTCCTGCTCACTCCCTTTCCCTCTCCACACACTCCTGTGCAGGGAGGGGAGGCCTCTCCAAAGCCAGACTTTGTCCCTCTGGGAGCTGCAGCTCCACAGATGATGTCATTTGCTAATGAGCAGATTTGCTGTCCCCTCCACGTCACTCCTGCCCTGTCACCCTGCCAAAGGCCAGAACAAACCCGGGGCAGGAGATAGGCAGGGTGAAAGTCTGCAGCCATTTGTGCCTGACGAGTGCAGGGCTGTGTGAGCACAGCAGGGAGAGATAATGGAGGGAGCCAGCCCTGCACAGGGATCAGCACAAATCCACAAAGCAGGAGCCCTTCAGCCTCTGCTCTGTACTTACTGGGGGGCACTGTGCAAGTTTATCAGCTGCCACCAACTGGACGTTGAGGTGTTTGCTCTGTGACTTCCCCCTGGACTTGATCAGTCGCTGCAGGACCTGCCAGCAGGAAAGGGCAAAAGGTGAATTTAAGGATTATTTATCTCCCTAAAGCTCAGCCTGACATCCCCCTGAGGGATTACCAAGGGCAGAAGCTCTCCATAAAATGCTGCCCTTGAACATCCCAAACCTTTGTGATAACCCTTGTGAGAACTGGGAACATTTCCCTCTGGATCACATTTGAGCCCTTGAGAAATTTCAGTTGCATTTCTGCTTTATCCCACTTTAAGTCCTAAGTTATTTGTGACAATAGAGAAGCATGAAAATTGTATTTACAGAGAATTATCTGGATTGCTGGATGGACTGTAGCACACCAGCAGTGCTTTATGTCACTTTTTCTCCTTTTCAGGTGCAGATTCCACACTGCCCATTCCCACCCTGCCCTCCAGCTCCCTCATGGATCTTCAGGGCAGGAATTACCTTTGGAGAGGACACCTTCACGTGGACAATAATTGGTGCTAGAGATGTCTTGATAAGCTGTGCAGGGTGATTGATAGTGTCTGCATCCAGGACAACCAGCTGCAAGGACCTGGCCAGCTCAAAGATTCTTTCAATCTCACTCTGCACTTCAGCTGCAAAGGAAAACAAAGCAGCTGAAACCACTGGGATAAAAACCCTCTCCCTCTTACTGTCACACACCCCACATGTGAACTGATGGCATTGCCATGGAATAACCTGTTACCTGTACCATGGCACAGATTTGGAATTTGGGCTTTTTTTTTCCCAAACCCAACTCCTCCTAGATGCTGGGAGGGTGTCCCAGAGAGCAGGATGTTGGAATGCACGTGACACACACAAATTTCCACCCTTGTACAACAAAGAATCACACAATCACAGAACCATCAAAGCTGGACAAGACCTCCAGGATCATGGAGTCCAAATAAAAATTCCTCAGGCCACTGTTCCCCAGCAGTCCTGAGGAGAGGAGCAGGACCCAAAGTCTCACAGCCAGACAGCAAAATTCAGCTGTGACTGCTCAAAATTAACCACACAACTGGTCCCAGGGTCAGGAATGACATTTCATTGGCTGGAAAAGTGAAAGCTCTTTGGCTGCTTGTGATGTGGAATTAAAAGCAGAGGGCTGGGAAGGAGGAGGAGCTGAGAGGCCAGCTCAGGATCGTGCAGTAAAATGCTGCAGACACATTTAAATCTGCACCTCTGCTGGGATCTGATCCTGGGAATGGCTGGAGCTGAGCCAGGGCAGGGTCAGGCTGGATTTCAGGGCAAGGCTCTTCCCCAGAGGGTGCTGGGCACTGCACATTCCCAACAGCTCCAGGAGGGTTTGGACAGCACTCAGGGACGCCAGGGTGGGATTCTGGGGTGTCTGTGAGGGCCAGCAGCTGATCCATGGTGCTGGGGCTCCCTCCCAGCTCAGATGGAAGGCTGGCACGCTGTCCTGCCCCTGTGTGCCAGCCCAGCCCAGTGCCAGCCGTGGCAGGGCCTTACCTAGGCTGGACCTGGTGTTGGAGCGCTCGATGATGGCTCTCTTGCTGGGGTTGTTGAGCACTGACCTCTTGGCCAGGGAGATGTCAGCTGTCACCCTGGTTATGGATATCCTGCCAGGAGAGCACAGCACACACAAACACACCAGTGGCATTTCCACGGGCACAGCCCATTCCAAAGGGCAAACACAAGCAAACACGCTCAGGCACGTTTCCAGATGAGTTCTGGCACCATTAAAGAACCAATGAACAGAAGTGCTGGCTGGCTGGGATGTGTTTCCTATTCCCTGAGCCCTGGCATGGAGTTCCTGCCATTCTCCTTGGTGCATTAATGAACTTTCCTCCTCCCAGCTCACTCATCTCCTGCATGAATTTACACAGTGCCATAAATGCTGGGAGTTATGTGAGGCTTGGGGCACCCAGAACGAGGAGCTGCAGTGAGGCAGCGCTTCCTCTTCCCCACAGTTACACCAGGAGTAACCCAGCCCAGCTGACAGGGGCTGGCATCAGCAGGAGAAAAGGAACTGGAGCTCTCTGGGCTGCCTGAACTCCAGTTTAACTTCACTGCACCTCTTTCACTTCAGGCAGGGGATTTATTTACTTCATCTGTCAGTGAGTGAGAACGACACAAAATGTTACAAGGCAAAGACAACACGATCCCTTCATCTAAAATCCAATTAGGAGGCCTGGGATGAGCCAAAGACCCAGGAAAAATGGGAACAAAGCAAGCTGGGAATGACCAGCAGCTTTTGCACAGAACACAAGATTTATGCAGCTCTAAGTGGAGTTTTCAGCTGCAGGGTTATAAAGAAGTGCAGTTATTTTTCTGTATAATACATAAATAAATGTACACAGTGGAGGCCAAAGGTAAAAATGAGTATAAAACAGAAATGAATGGACTGTGGGCTCAGTGACCAGCAGGGGAGGTTGCAGTTACAGAGGAAGGAGCTGCAAAGCCAAGGGAATTCAGGGGCAGGGAAGGAGTCAGGGCTCTCTGATGCCTCTGGAAAGCTCTTCCTTGGACACTCAGCTCCTTCCTTGGAACATGGACCTCCCCCAGAACTGCAGAGGAGATGGAAAGGAAGAAAGAAGAAAGAAAAGGGAGGGAGGGGGAAGACCACAGAGCCACAGAAGTTGGCAGAAGGACCAAGAAGCAGGTTTTTCCTGAGTTCCTCAGAGCTAAAATCAATGGTGCCAGGCTGCTGGTGGCACTGAGCTCTCCTCTGCTGAAATTTCACACTCCCACCTGAGCCAGCTGCCAATACTGCTGATGGAATCAGCACTTCCAGAAAATCCCTTGAGCTGGGCAGCTCAGGACAGGCCAGAGAGGAGAGGCTTTGCACAGAGGCTGATCATGAAATGTTCTGTGTGAGCAGGCCTGCCACCTCCTCACTGCTGAAATCCATCCATCCTGCTCCAGCTCTTCCACAGAACATCCCTTCCCTGCCCTGGTGCTTTGGGCATTTCAAACCTGACTCGGTGGGATGTGTCACCAGAACAGCCTCTTTTCCCAGCTGGAATATCTGGACTGACTGGGAAGGGCAGAACATCCCCAAGATGCTGCAGGCACCTGCAAGGACTGAGGGGATGCCATGACCAAACCTGTGCTCCCAGCAAGGGAATCCCAAATATCCCCTACAGCTGGAGATGAACCCTCCTTACAATTCTTTATCTGGGCTTTATTCCTCAGCATTTCCTTCTTCAGTATTTTTGCCTACTTAAGGCAGACAAAATAAAATCTCAAATAAGGAATATTTTAGAGCTGATTTTTCTTAGGGAAGACACTGAGACAGAATTCTTGTGTTGAACTAAGAACTCCTAGCCCAGCCATGGCAGAAATGCAGACATGTGCACCCCTAGGAACACATGAGCTGTGTCCCACTCTCCAGTGGTGACACAAAGCCAGAAAACCAGCTTTGATCATGCAGCAAACCCTCTGGCATTAAAAAAAACAAATAAAATAATTGACTGAAATGTGAGTAACACATGGGCAAAGCAGCATGAGAAGGACAGAGTTTCTCACCTCCCATCAAACCTGTGCTTCAGGAAGTCAAAGAGAGCTTTCTGCATCATGTCTGTCACCTTGGCAGAGGGGAGCAGATTGAGCAGGGGGATGGACAGGGAGAGAAAGAAGCCAAAAGGAAGGAAAGAGGTGAGTAGAAGGCAGGGACACAGCCAACAATCCACACCCTTGCTGGGCAGAACCGTGCCAGTGCCACAGCCTGCCACCACAGCACTCAGCAATCAATCCCTGCACTTTCCTCATTGACTGAGCAGCTCCTTGTCCTTTGCAGCACAGCTCAGGCTGACAATCATCATCTGCCAGGCCAGGCTGCAGCTCCATCAAAGCCCCCAGGCCTCTCTGCCCGTTTATTTCCCTCCTTCCAACTGATTCCTTCAGCATTTAGGCAGGAAAAACCAGTCAAAATAAATTCCCCCAAGCAAGATCAAGTATTTTTGTTATTGAAATTAATTTTCCACACAATTGTATGTTCAAGGTGTTGTGTTTGGTGTTGTTTTATTAATTTATTAATTTATTAATAAATTATAAATTTATTAAATTTTTTATTAAATTATAAATTTATTAATCTTTTAATTTATTATTATAATAAATAATAAATTTATTAAATTTTATTAATTTTCCACACAATTGTATGTTCAAGGTGTTGTGTTTGGTGTTGTTTTATTCAAAAAAAAGAGACAGGGTGGCAGATTTGAAGAGGTTTTTGTGAACAAACAGCCTCTCTCCCCTCTGAACTCGAGAGGTAAATTGATCTGTGGTGCAGCACAGAGGGAATGGACTCCTGTCAGAAAAGTTCCCCATCAAATGAAAAGGCAGAGAGCAGAACATGAAGTACCTGCTCTGCTGAGCTGCACCTGCAGCCACGCTCACATACAAACAAAGCCAGAACACTGCAAATGCCAGGGCTGCCACCTCCCCAAAAGAACCATTCCAATACGGTTAATAATATCCTATCAATTACTGACAACATTAATTAAGCTTAATGAAGTGTATCTTTGATTTTATGTTCATTTAGCTCCTGGTTCAGCACTTCCCACATGGCTGAGCTCCCTGAATTGCCCTGCTAAAGTCTCTGCTTGTTTTAGCACGTGGGAAATGCTCACTTGAACCTGCAGCAGCCCAAAAAACCAGTCCTGGTTATCCAGGCACGTTATCCTGCCCACTCCCACCTGGGCAATCTTTCAGGAGGGTTAAAGGTTCCTCTGCAAAATATTTGAATTTATTAATAAAGTGAAAAAAGGAGAACAACAAGGAAGCTCCTTCAAATGTTTTGCTAATTAAGTTCAAAGCATGGGCTGGTTTGATGAACATTTTTCATGTGTAGAGTCCAGCTCATTAATTTGACTTCTTGTAGCAGACACAAATTCTCTTTTTTACTTGATTTAATCAGGAATGAGTGCACTGAGAAGAATGGATTTGCACTGTGCTTAAAACAGTACAAGCCAGAAGTAACCCTCAGCTCTCACAGAACATTTTGGTAATTATTTAAGCTAAATCACTTGAAATTATCATAAACCAGTTGCACTGAGCCACACACAGAATTACTGAGGATGATCAGGGATAATGAAGGTTGAATTAATTGCAAACACCTCAGTCCATACCTCATAGCCTTTGAGGGATGGGCCCACCAACACCACAGGTCTCATTGATGGCACCACATCATAGGGGGGAATGTGTTCTGTCTAGAGGGGAAAAACAACAACCCTTCAGATCACCAGGCAAACAAATCCACAGGGAAATCCTGGCAATGATGAATTAGGAGGAAATAAAATGCAAACAAAAGCATTACTTACCACTTTTTGTTTCTGTTTTGCTAGAAGACCAAATGAGAACTTGGTTAAAACACACCCAGGCAAGCAGAAATCCCTTTGCCAAAGCACTTTGATTTCTGTCTGAGCACCTCCCTCTGCTCAGGCCTGACTANCTGAACTGCCCAGGCATTCCAGAAGGAAGTGTGGATGTTACCAGCAGGCAGAAGTGATAGTGGAACCCTGGAAAAAGTTCAAGATAGAATCTAAAATGTTAGGCTTTGTGCTTTCCCAGATCAACTACACCTGCGTAAGCAGTATGATAAATTATATAATTGTTAGATGGGATGATTGTTTAGTAATTAAAAGTAATTATTATATAACCATAAGAAGAATAGTGAGAAACTATGTTGGAAATTCAGAGAGGGGCTAAATTTACGTATACAATAGAACAATACAAGTTTAATAATTAACATGAAAGTTATGTAACGATAGAGTATAAACCATGATCATTTCGGATGTATGGTCAGTCAGATTTGGGTTGAATACACCCCAATTCCCAGAATAAAAAACACTTAATAAAAAGCACCACATGTAATCCCCGTGATTGTGTGGTTTTGAACGTTACAGAAGGAGCTCCATGGTCAGTGAGCAGCACACACCTTGGCCCTCTCCAGCTGGATGGCTGCTTGCTGCTCCCTTTCCTGGCGGATTGCTTCCCTGTCCTCTTCCAGAGACACATCAGAATCTGAGGGTCTGCTCGTGTACGAATCTGCTGAGCCCTGAAAGGAAAGCCAGCTCACTGAGAAAACACTGAGGGAACAAGCAGAAACCCCCTCCCCACCCAAATTTTAAAAATACTTTAGAAGTAATTGGTTTCTTTGTAGTTTTGGAGTGATTTTTACATAGACAAAAATGCTGAGAAAACCTCTCTCCTTCACATTCTTACTGACACAGTAAAAATCCAGCTCAGCTCTGGGCACTGTCCAAAAGTCTTTATAATATTCACATCCTGTTTGACAGCCTCAGACCCAGGATTGTCAAGGGTTAGGTCACATCAAATATAATTAAGGAATTATAAAGCTTGGTTTGAATCATCCCCCCCCATGAATATGCTCTGTTGTGTAAGAGCTTTGTTCCCATTCCCACAGAGGTTTCTTCTGGGCTTCCAGGGGGGAAAAGTGGCAAAAATGACATTATTAAAGCTGCTCAACAGCTCTGTATTGATATGACATGAAAGCAGCATGTTCAGGCAGCAGCAGAGAGCATCAGCCTGCAAGGGGGCAAAGAAGGTGCTGCCACAGTTGGATTTTTGCCTTTTTTTGACATTTTTCAGGATACCTGGCAAGCCCTGAAGAGTGGAGTGGCTCCTCTCTTTATAGAGACCAGCCTGACTCCAGCATCCCACTGGGGCCAGTGGAAAACCAGAGCTTTAACCTTGCAAAACAGAGAATATTTACTCCTGATCAGTCTGTGGCTCTGTGTGTTCCAACAGAGCCACTCTACAGCATTATATCCCTATTCTTTGTTTTCCTACATTGATTTATATCCTGCAGCACAGGCACTGTAGAATTCAATATTCTTACTGTCCATGGAAAGTCACATATTCTTAAATACTGCTGTGAATATATGGCCATTGCTGTGCATCCACATCCATCCCTGTGCATCCACATCCAACCCTATGGATCCATGTCCATCCCTGGGAATCCCTGTCCATCCCTGTGGATCCACATCCATCCCTGTGCAGCCACATCCATCCCTATGGATCCCTGTCCATCCCTGGGAATCCCTGTCCATCCCTGTGGATCCACATCCATCCCTATGGATCCATGTCCATCCCTGTGAATCCCTGTCCATCCCTGTGGATCCACATCCACCAGGATTCTGCTGGCTCAGAACCACTGGTGACCCTGTGCTCTTTCCTTGTTCCATACTCATTCAGGGAAAGGCAGATTTGCTCCAGGCCAAGAACAGGATTTGCCAACAGGAGCTTCACCCACAGCTGACATTTTAAACACAGCAGAAAATTCCTTCCAGGACATCCTGCACCCAGGGAGAGCTGGGAAGGGCTGGGAAAAGCTGGGAAGATTCAGAGTTCAGGATTCTGAGCTGGAAAAAGCGCAGCATGCCCAGGCTGAGCAGTGGTATCAGGAGCTGGCAGCAGCTCAGCTCTTCCCAGCTGGGAAGCTGCACATCCTGCTCTTCCTTCTGCTTCCTCGGGGATGGAGGAGAGAGCAGGGAACTCACAGAGCTGGGCCAGGCCTCCCCCAGACACCTCCCAGTGCCTGAGCCCCCTTTGCATGGGGAAATTCCTGCTGGGCCCACCCTGAGCTGCCCTGGGCCGGCCTGAGGCCGCTCCCTCTGCTCCTGTCCCTGTTCCCTGGGAGCAGAGCCCGACCCGCCCGGCTGTGCCCTCCTGGCAGGGAATTGCAGAGAGGGAAAAGATCCCTGGGGATCCTCCTGTGCTCNCTTTCCAACTTGACATAACCTTTCCCTTCTTAGCTGTCCAGCAAGACAGGCCCAGCAATCCCCAATTTACACATCTGTTATTCTTCTGTATCAAAACTTGCTTCCATCTCTATTTTGGCCTCAGGTTCTACATTCAGAGCTTCCTGCCAAGCACACATATCTGTGAGGCTTTCCTGTCCAGTTTTCATCCTTCCCAACAGTCACCCACACTCCTTCACTCCACTCTGCATAATGAACCAGGCTCAAGTGTGAGAGCAGAGCACCGAGGCCGTTTCCCCTTGTCCAGGCCCTTGCTGATTTAATTTCCAGGTTGATTTAATGAGCACAACTCATTTCTTTGAGCTGAGGCCACCAAACAACCTCCCAGCAGCAAACACAAAAATAACACCTCCAGCTTCCCATCAAATATTGCTTGTCACATTTAATGGTCTAGACAAAAGATCACCACTTTCCCTTCCTCCTCTCCACGGATTTGTAGGAAAGGAATGTTATTAACAGGTTATGACAGATGAAGAGAAATTCACCTTTAGGAAGAAACTTCAATATATACCTAAAGCACAGCATTTTATCATTGACCTTTAGTAACATAAATTCTTCTGCTTTATTGAAAGTCTGGTCTGTCCCTAATGATGGCAAAATGAAAAGCGGGATCCTGGTAGATATTGGAGTGGAAAAGGATTTGTTGTAGCTGCTGCCAGCAGAGCTTTTGAAGAAAACTATCTGAAAAGCCTCTCCTCTGTTCTGCTTCATTAGGCAGCTCGGTGTTCAAAAGAAACATTGCTTTTCACAACTGGCTCTGGAGTCATTAGGAGCAGCACGAGTGAATGGGTTTTGTTTGGTGCCTCGAGGAAAAAGCCATCACAGAGATCTCCTCTTCGAGATATCCCTGCTCCTGGCTCCACATTTGCAGGCACTGCAGCTCCTGCAGGAACACACAAACACCCAGGCCCTGCTGTCAGAGGTGCAGCAGTGCCTGGGGATGGCTCTGCAACACAGAGACCCAGCCCTGAAAAATAAATGGGTTTTTATCAACCCAGATATCTGAATATGAACCCAATCATAAATATGAACATGTAATAAAAATGATGGGAATGCAAAGTTGAAAAACCTCTTTATCCTCTTTTATATATTTAGGCAAGAGGTTCCAGTTGATCATTCCAGTTAGGTATTTATTGCTCCTGCTGTTCTGACCTTGATTCACACAGTGGCAGTGAGCAAAGCTTTATTTGAAGTATGTTAAGTTACAGAACTACTTCCAGTCTGTGAACCAGACAGATCCTTCAGGATTCAGCATCCTGCTGCTGGAAATCAGTGAACTGAGAGGCTGTGGGACACCATGAGGGACAGACCTGGCAGTGTCCCAGGCCAGGCTGGACAGGGCTTGGAGCACCTGGGACAGTGGGAAATGTCCCTGCCATGGCAGGGGTGGCACTGGGTGGGCTTTAAGGTCCCTTCCAACCCAAACCAGTCTGACTCTACAACACCTGAGTTCCAAGGGCACTGCTGTTCCAATGCCTGCTCCATTGTGGCTCCAAAGGCACAGCCTGACCATGGGAATCTTTCTTCATGGACCTCTGAGCGATGCCTCCAGCCATGGGATCAGAATCAGCCCCTCTGGAGAGGGACCTGGGACAAAGGATGGAGGGACAGGACACAAGGAATTGCTTCCCACTGCCAGAGGGCAGGGATGGTGTTGGAGATTTTTTCAGGGATGGCNCAAGGATTTTTCCCAGCCCTCAGCAGCTCCAGCAGGCTGTATTGGAATAGCTGTCCTCCTGCCCTGTGCATGCAAACACTTTGTAAGAAAACACCTCAGTAACTCAGCAAAGGGGAGAACCTGCATTGCTCATGTAGGGTTTTGAGACAGAATTATGAGCAAGGGTTTCCTTGAATAAATCCTGTCTTACCTGTGGCTGTAGGTGTGGCTCGAAATGTGCCAGAGACCATCTCTCCAAGGCTTGAAGAAGAATTCCCACTGGATTTCCTGCAGCAGCAGAAAGACCCCATTAACAGCAGGCACCCCAAAATGTGGGAGGTTTTGGGGAGGAATTGTCCCATGAAGAATCACAAGGTCATACCAACATAAATGACTCTAACTAAAAAAGCTAAATATTAACTGTTTTATCATTATAATATGGAATTTTATCATACAAATCCAGGAGCATCTCACTGAACTCAGTAATTTCACTGTATATTGAGACCCACTGGCTGCCCCTGAAGTTGTGTCAAAAATTATAGGAGAAATTTGGATGCTGTTCAGCTATTCTGAAAGCATTTCCCAGGTTTATCTCCCAGACCTTTTTCCAGGGATTTGCAATCTCCAGGTCTGGCAGGTGGACACTCAAAAACCTCAGGCTGGAAGCTGAAGAATAAAGGATGGCAAAGCTGATCTTACAAAGTCTGGTTTGGGCCAAAGTAGCCACGATGTTTTCTGAAAAATCCTTTCCTTGGGGTTTTTCCTCCTGAGAAGCTGGGAGGCCTCAGGAACAAAATGCAAACAATGGTTATCTGCTGCTGTGGGATGCAACAGGAGTATCTGGGATTGGTCAGTGTTGGTTGTTTCTAATTAATGGCCAATCACAGCCAGCTGGCTCAGACTCTCTGGTCAGTCACAAGATTTTATTATCATTCCATTCTTTTCCATTCTTTGCCAGCCTTCTGATGGAATCCTTTCTTCTACTCTTTTAGTATAGTTTTAATATATCATTTTCTTTTAATATAATGTATATCATAAAATAATCAATCAGCCTTCTGAAACATGGAGTCAACACTCTCATCTCTCCCCTCATCCTGAGACCCCTGTGAACACCACCACAGGCCAAAATGGAGAAAAAAGGAAAAATGGAAGAAAAAACCCATAACCTAAGAAAAGTTGGGAAAAATCTGGGAGACTTTGAGCCCAAGCTGACTTAAGGCCATGGGCACACAGAACTCTCAGAAACTGCTGTCATGATCCCTCCCTGCTCTTCCCTGAAGTCAGACCCGTTTTGTTTCTCATCACCAACATCTCCCCCTCCCCACAAACCCGCACTTGCAGCGGGGATCCCAGAGCCAGCCCTGCAGCCAGGCAGCAGCAGGAGACCTTTGGAAGTACTGCCCGGGCTGAGGGAGGGTCTGGGGGCTCTGCAAGGGCAGGCTGTGCTCACTCACCCCCCGTGGAAGCGGCCCCTCTTCTGCTCCTGCTGGATGCGGATGTTCTCCAGGCGCAGCGGGCTCGGGATGAAGCCGATCTCGCAGCCCTCCTTCACCAGCCTCCCTATCCACCAGTCGTTGTTGTATTTCTGCAACACAGCAAGGCTCCTGCCCACTCAGCTCCCCAGTTCCCTCCCCGTCACCTCCTCTTGCAGGTAACCAACTGTTACTGCAGTCCAGGGGNTATATATATAGTATTAATATATATATTTCCCATTGCTTAGAGCAGCAGCCTGGTCATTTGGGGATATCACCTGTGCCCACAATTTCACAGGTAACATTTGAGGACAAATCACCAATCCCACCCTTATCTAACCCAAATCCCTCTAGGAGACAGAGCAACTTTGTGGGGCTTCAGTGAGTTCAGGTGACACCAGATTTGGCAATTTGAAAGAAACAGGCTTTTCTAGATAATTACATTATTCAAGACAATGAAAGACTTGTTGCTTACTCCACAGCCCTTATACTTTGGGCTCCTGTGAATTCATTTTTTGTGCAACTTATTATTTATTTCTCTCTCTCTCATCAACTAATGTAATTCAGCTTAGCTAAAAACAATCCCAAATCCATCCATCCATCCATCCATCCATCCATCCATCCATCCATCCATCCATCATCCATCCATCCATCCATCCACCCATCCCTGCCCTCTGGCACTGGGAGCCATTCCCTGGCTCCTGTCCCTCCATCCCTTGTCCCCAGCCCCTCCCCAGCTCTGCTGGAGCCCCTTCAGGCCCTGCCAGGATCTCTCCAGAGCCTCCTCGTCCCCAGGCTGAACCCCCCCAGCCCTTTCAGGGGTTCCATCCGCCCATCCTCCCTTTCCCCCAAGGCAAATCCATCACAGGCTGGAGCCTGAGCTCAGAAGCAGCCCAAGAGTGCTCAGCCCTGTGCAAGCTCCCGGGAGGATCGAGGCCCCCCCGTCCCTCCTGACACAGCACAGGGAGGGCAGGCAGGCACGGGCATGGCTGCAGGGCCATATGCCAGGGATGCTCCAGAAACCACCCAAAACACCCCACAAAACCCACGGCAGAGTTAGTGAGGCTCACTCCAAGCCACAACACAAACATCTCCCTGGTCCAGGTGCACAAAGCAGGTTTAACTCACAGGTTACTACCAGAAGTGAGGAAGCGAAGGGAGACGACCCATCCTTTGATCAGCATCGAACTCCGATTTATTGATCCAACATGCACATTTTATAACCGTGTCAATTAAGTTCATACATATTGCAAAACCCGAGCTCATTATTGGCTACAGATTAGGCACCAACCCCTCCTTTTGTTTTCAATACCTGAGGTTTGTTATTGAGACCAAAACTTGTTTTTCTCATCCAAGGCCTCCATGTTTGTCACTCTGCTTTCCCATCAATATCCAAGGGCAAGGTATTTACTTGTTATTAAAAAACAAGCCTGAGAACTTTGCTGTTTACAGGAACGTGTCTGAGAACTTTGCTGTTTACAGCTGCCTTTTACTTTTCAATCAGCTGTATATTTTCATGGCCTTTTTTCCTTCAAGCCATGTCTGAGCAAAATTCTCCAACACAGAAGTATGTCATGGAGATGGGGGTCCCAGAAAATAAGTACTAACTCATTTTTACATGAAAACAAGAACCAGAAGTTGAGGACTTAAGAAACTCCCACACTTTAAAAACCAATGGCCGCCACACTTGGTGCTCACCTCATCCCAGCACTCAGGGTGGGCAGCTAAATTTAATTACTGGGCTGGTGATGTAATTAATTAAAAGGCAAACACAAACCAGTGGGGATCCCTTCCTTTGGCGTGAAAACCTTGCTGTGCTGCAATGGAAACCGGGGCCAGGAAAATCTGTGTGTGCCCAGCAAAACTCTGCAGAGCTTCCATGGAGCTGCAGCAGGGACAGCACAGCACTGTTCCCATGGAAAGGGGGCACAGAGCACACCTGCAGCACAGCCCATTTCTGGAATTATTCACATCCTCCTCAAACCACAAAATCCATCCCAGCCACTGCAATGTTTACAGGGAGCTCCAGGAGCAGAGTTCAGTGGGACTTTTCCACAAATTCCCATGGAAAGGGGGGCACAGAGCACACCTGCAGCACAGCCCATTTCTGCAATTATTCACATCCCCCTTGAACCACAAAATCCATCCCAGCCACTGCAGTGTTAAACAGGGAGCTCCAGGAGCAGAGTTCAGTGGGACTTTTCCAAAAATTCCCACATGGAAAGGGGGGCACAGAGCACACCTGCAGCACAGCCCATTTCTGGAATTATTCACATCCTCCTCAAACCATAAAATCCATCCCAGCCACTGCAATGTTAAACAGGGAGCTCCAGGAGCAGAGTTCCGTGGGACTTTTCCAAAAAATCCCATGTGGAAAGGGGGCACAGAGCACACCTGCAGCACAGCCCATTTCTGGAATTATTCACATCCTCTTCAAAACCACAAAATCCATCCCAGCCACTGCAATGTTTACAGGGAGCTCCAGGAGCAGAGAGTTCATTGAGACTTTTCCACAACTTCAAAATTTTTGCCAGAAATAATGGCAATATTCCCACGTGGATGAGGCACTGGGAGCCCAACAGGACAAGGTTCAGTCCCCAAGGAAATGATTTTCTTGCTGGATCCCCAGCACACACACACAAGGCAGCTGCACAACCGCTTGGCACCGAGTTGGGATTTCAGAATCAAATGCTCAGCAATTATTTCCTTCTATATGTTGGGTAAATTTATTTAAGACAACTCATTAGGTGTCTCAGCAATTTGGAAATTACTAGGTAGTCAGAACATGTTTTTTTCTTTGGGAATACTAATTGTTAGAAAATAGGGCAATTCTTCCAACATTTCCTGATCTCTTTTTTTCCCCCTGGATTTCAAATCTTGCAGTCTATCTCCTTTCTCCAGCTGCCTTCAGTTGGGCACAGATTGTGTTGCCACATTTAAGAAACAGAGTTTAAAAAAACACTGGTAATACAGATCTCTATTTACTGCCAAAATACTCCCATCTCTTTTGGTGATGTTCAAATGAACATGCAAGGCACAAAAAGATTTTGCTTAGCAGGCACTGCAGGTACACACAAAGCCTGAGGGAGTGGTTAGAGAACATATGAGCTGCTCTGAACTTTCCCTTTTCACAGGTGAAAAATCCAAATCTTCCTCCACAAAACAACACCCAAAGCTCTTTTCCTGCAGCCTCAGAGCCCGGGACAGGTGAGGATCACAGCCAGAGGGACAGCCACGGGCTCAGGTGGTTCTCACCCCACAAAGTGATCCAAATTTGCACACACAAACCTTTCCAATTGCACAAAGCAGCACAGAGCTGCCTGGGAACGCTCTGATCTGTGCCTCATTCCAAATGCAGCTTGTGAGACCTGGCACTGAATGCACACCTGAACACCTCCAGCCTGAATTCTGCTTCACCCTCTGCAGCTGCTGCCTCTTTTTCAGGCAAGCTATTCAGCAGTCCCAGGAGAGGAAAAAAGGTGCTGCTTTTCCACGATAAAAGGCTCCAAACTAAAGCTGACACGGCACAGAGACACTGCTTTATTTTGTCTAATCACTTCAGCTCTTGAAAGCACTGAATGATCTTCCCAAGGCTCTGGGGAAGCTGGGTTTGATGAAACCTGATCATAAAAGTGCACCTGGTATCCTAAATCAGCTCTGCTGTGAGGAGGATGCTCTGTGTCTGTCCCACATAACACGTTGGGAAGGCAAGAACGTTCCCTAAGTCTCCAGGAAAAAAAAGATAAATTACAAATACTGCCCCCAAACGAGAGTTAATCATCCTGCCAAGTACACAGGCATCTGTGGCTGCCATATGTGGTCTGCCACAGCATCCCCTCAGACAGGCAGCCTTCAGGCAGTGCTGGGATAACGTGGTGTGCTCCTAAAGCACCCTCAGCCACCCTCCTGTGTGCATGGAGAGCTCCTGATCACAAGTGGGGATCACTAACAGAAATAAATCACACCTCCAGCCAGCTCCTGGTTACTGCACCAGGGATGTTTAACCTGGGATCTGCAGNGAACACACAAATGCCAAGGCTGCAGTGAGGAACTCGGGATTTATCTGCATTAGCTCACCCCCTCCCCTGTGTCAGTCTGTGTGTGGGAGGAGCACGTTCCCTCCCCTGGTTGCCATGCCCATGGCTCCCTCTGCTCCGTCAGGAATTGTTGCCATTTCATCCTTTAGGCAGGCACACAATGTATAGTTTGGAGGAGACAGATGAGCCACACAGGACACACAGCCTGAAAATAGCAGCTCCTCACTCACTGCCAGAGGGTGACCTGACTCTGCACCCAGCTCAGCAACATTCCAAACCCTGGAATCACTGAACAAACAAAGCCTCTCTGCAGCATGGGGAGCCATTCCCCAAATCCTGCTGAGCTCCAGCTCCAGGCAGGCTGAGCTGACAAACACCAGCACCCAGATGGTTTCCAGCTCAGTGGCATTGTGATCCTGGCATTTTAGACCTTGGGAGACAACTCATGGAATGCCAAGGCATGGATTTGGGACACTTGTCTGCAAAAATGTACAGGGCAGCATGCCAGGAGCTTGGAGTGTGCAACTCAATCAGTGCCCTGACAATTAAGGTGGCCACGTCCAGGAAAACCAAGATTAAAAACTGGAAAAGGGAATTTACTGCCTTTCCCTGTCAGGGAGAGGGGGTGTGAAGCAATTCCTGCTCCAGCACCAGAGGAGGGGCAGCAGCAGGTGTTTTCCTCCTGAATGTGCTCTGTCTAAGGGAGATCAGTGCTCTGGAGTGATGATGAACACGTGTTCAAAGAAAGACACAGATGAGCACTGAACACCCCAAAATAAACCCAAAATGCAGAGATGAAAAAGTGCTTTTGCAAGCTGCAAGCCTCTGTACCAATCCACAGCACAACAGGGGGTTATGCAAATGTGGAGGGCTCACTTCAGATAAAAAATTGCATAAAATATGCTCAGCATGCAATAAAATGCAATTTTCTCTACCAAAGCCCATACTCAGGGCTCATTTATTCCATTTTTTCCCTTATTTTTGCATCTGTCCTCTTCAGGATTTTCTTTGCTTACTGCATTATCCTAAGTGTTACTTCCTCTCTGGAAGGGAGCCTATCTGGTGTTTTTCTGAAGACCTGGCATGACCTGGTGCTGCTCCATGGAATCCCTTTCTCCTGCACCCTCTCTGATCCACCACAAACTGGTTCTGATGAAAAGAATCTGAACCCACCACTGTAAAGGGTGGGATGGATTTCCTATTCCCTGAGCCCTGTGATGGAGTTCCTGCTATTCTCCTCAGTGCATTCATTAACTTTCCCCCTCCCAGCTCACCCCAATAATAAAGGGCATTATTTCCTTCCTGTGTGATGAAATTCCAACATGTTGGTAACACCAAGTGTTGCAAAAGGGCAGGATAAGCACCCCAGGGTGCAGGAACTCCAGGAGGGATGAAGAACCAGCTCATCCTCACTGTGCCCTCCTGGATAAGGCTCAGCTGTTCAAATCAAAGCCCTTGGCTGTAGAAAGAGTCCCTTTCCCATCCCCTTTTCCTGGGTTTTACCTCTTTAATGTGGAGGAAGTCCTTGGCATCGAAGGAGATGGCAGTGCTTGGGACAGGAACATCTTCATCCAGAGCCCCACAGTAACTCACGTTGGTCTTGACAGCAAATGCTACTGGTTTGGACTACAAACAGAAAAAAAACCCTTCAAAAACGCTGGGAACTTCTCATCCATAAAAATTCAGCCCTAATAATTTCACCCAGGCCAGCAGAGCTCAGCTCCCTGGAGAACATCCCCATTTAGAGGAGGATTTACACCAAATTCCCCAAACACCTTCTCTGCAGATACTCTGACTGAACTGCCCAGGCATTCCAGAAGGAAGTGTGGATGTTACCAGCAGGCAGAAGTGATAGTGGAACCCTGGAAAAAGTTCAAGATAGAATCTAAAATGTTGGGCTTTGTGCTTTCCCAGATCAACTACACCTGCGTAAGCAGTATGATAAATTATATAATTGTTAGATGGGATGATTGTTTAGTAATTAAAAGTAATTATTATATAACCATAAGAAGAATAGTGAGAAACTATGTTGGAAATTCAGAGAGGGGCTAAATTTACGTATACAATAGAACAATACAAGTTTAATAATTAACATGAAAGTTATGTAACGATAGAGTATAAACCATGATCATTTCGGATGTATGGTCAGTCAGATTTGGGTTGAATACACCCCAATTCCCAGAATAAAAAACACTTAATAAAAAGCACCACATGTAATCCCCGTGATTGTGTGGTTTTGAACGTTACAGAAGGAGCTCCATGGTCAGAGAGCAGCACACACCTTGGCCCTCTCCAGCTGGATGGCTGCTTGCTGCTCCCTTTCCTGGCGGATTGCTTCCCTGTCCTCTTCCAGAGACACATCA